TTATCATTAATATTACTATTTTTCATCATGACTATAAAAATTTTATTTTATATATTCATTATTACACTTCAGTTTTTTGCCTTTATATGACTTGTATTGTTTTTATTGATATTTTTTGTTATTTTTTTCTCAATATTGTTTTTATATGATCATTTTATATTCCAAATTATAATATATTGTATCTTGTATATTTTATTCCCCGCCTGTTAATGGTGTTTTACACTGTTGGATGCAATAAAAGAAATAAATAAATATATTTTGTAAAAATTTGTTTTTATAAATAATTATATAAAATTAGTTGTCATTCAAATAAACTTGTATTTTAATCAAACAACTTGCATTCATTTCATCATTACATATTGATTTCTGTCATTATTGACTAACCATCATCTACAAAGACAATTCAAATTTGTTACAAAATGAAACTCACATTGATAAATTATAAACACGTTTAGCAACATCTCAGGATTTACAATAATTTTTGAACATTAATATTCATGGCATTTAAGGAAAAATATTGATTGCAATATTATATAATGACAGGTAGCAGATGGAATTTATTGTATGGCTATAGTAGAACTGTAGCTTGACCTTATACTGTACCTACAGGGTTCTTGGTTCAAATCCTACAGAAACAAGAATTATTTTCTTGCGGCTAAAAAACAACTCAATTTCTTACTGACAAACTGAAACCTGTAGTTTATACAGCATTTAATATATTACATCATACATAATATTTTTCAACTAATTTACAAATCTAATTGGTTACAGTTGTTCTATAGATTGTCCTGAGTTGCCTTTTTAATGTATACAAATTAGTTTTCTATAAAAGAAATTCGCACTTAAATGTTGCACTTACTGTACTCAAATGATTTTTATTTTTTAAATGAATAAAAATATTCAAGATGTTTACATGCGGAAGTATTGAGGTCAGTATTTTTTTGTTGACTGAAAAAAAGAAACAACTGTATATGGCCAAGTACTACAATTTTAGATATTAAATACTGTAGTTCTAAATCTAAGATGATGTAGACTAGCATTCAAACAAGAACAGGATTCTACTGATGCATCAAAATTGAAGGCGCTTATTTAAATTAGGGGGAGGGGGACACTTATTCAAACGGAGTGCATAAGAAAATTTTCATGTATTCAGGGGCGCCTATTTAAACAGGGTGCTTATTCGTGCGATTACGGTAATCAGTAAGCACCTACACTCTAATTAGCTTCACAGGAGACAAGCATGTAGACACCTACTTTAAATAGAGGAGAGTTTAATGATATGGTACCCGAGATGTCTGAAAATGGCACTCTAATTATTACAAATGCCAAATTTCAAATAATAATAATAATAATAGTGTAGATTTGTATAGCGCCGGTATCAATCAAACAAGATGCTCATGGCACTTGATATGTGGACAAAGCTCAATCAATGACTTTGTTCGCCCCTAAGGGTCCCTTCATGTCTGTGCTACACGGTAACCCGGTACCAGCAACGCTCATTGTCCGCCACAAGGGCTTTCTGTACCATTACACTGGGGTATCACCAACTCTTGAATGATGTACTGGGTTCTTTATAGTGCACACAAGCCATTGTGTACACTGGGCCTATGGTTTATAGTCCTTATCCGAGAAGACTTGTTCTACCACCAGAACCATAGGCGAGCGTGTCGTTCTAACCAGCGCCGATATTATGGCTGTAGGTTGTATGGAGTTAATTTCAACTTCAAGCAAATTGTACTTTGAACTCATTTTAAAGGGCATTTTGGTTCGAAGAAACCCCTGGCTTCAGGCTTGCCTGATTCCAAATACAAGTTTTTAATAAGCACAGTGACGACTTATAGCTTTGGTATTTATATGAGCGGTAAAATACAAAAGAATCATCAAAAGACATTATCATCAATATCAAAAACATTCTATCCACATTCAGCAATTACCATCATCAAACTGTCCACAACATCAAACTAATCATCCTAAGAAAGCACAAACTGCAATTTTTCTTTTTTTCATTAGCAAAAATGATTGATTTTTATTTTTTTTTAACTTAAGATTGACAGAAGTAATATTCACAGCCTCTTTCACAAATTTTTAAATATTTTTTTAAACTTCTTTTTGTTATAAATTCCTGTTTACAATACTCTTATAATATTTTAGATGATACAGAGTAAATAAATTTTTACAACATCTTGTTCCTACTAGGATTAGAGCCCAAGATCTATAGATCGCCATTCAATTGCGAGGCATATTCAGCTATGAGGCCAATTTAGTATGTTGCCACTAGAATTTATCTTAGGGACCTGTTTCCCCAAGGTATTTCAAAACATGCAATTATTTTTAAGTACTTGTATTTTGAAAATTTCTGTAACATTTTTTTAATACTAATAGTACAATCTATATTTTGCATCATATTCCCATCAAAATTCTCTGAAATATGTCAAAGATTGCATTTTAATCTTGGAAGCTATCATCACGCAAACTTTATCATCAATCACATCTTATTTATCATCTCATTGGCGATTGACATCTTTCATCATTGGTATCGTTAATAAATATAACAGATGGTCTAAGCCTGTCGATCCACATAAAGTACCAACTTAACAGATATCTTCATCCGTACTTTATTTGATATACATAATACAGCAAAACAAAATGTTTGCATCATTTTATATAAGCTAGACCTGTGAAAAATGACATCAGGAACAGATTATTCCTTGGCGTGGACCTTGTAGAAGTCAAGCTTACAACAGAGCTATGTTCCATAATTTTATTTTAAGGAAGTGTAAATTTGGCAAGTACCTACAGCCATCCAATGGCAAAACAACGTAACTGCTATTGTATTGTGCGATTATGATATTTTACCTTGGAACGGCCGCTTAAGGCCCGTTCGAGCGAAAAAATATCCGTGCGATTTTCCAGTTAATTCACCGGTACACACATTCTAAAACTGCTCGGACATGCGCCTAATTACCTTACCATCTGGATTATCCGCGACAATTTAGATCACCAAATTGCTGGGTAGAATTCCGTGTATGAGATGGCCTTGGAGCCGGAGACGATGATAAATCAACCTTAATTGCTTTGCCAAATGGTTCGTCCACAGCAAGTCCCGCTGTCGTCGCACTCTTCTTCGCCTCCTCATGTTCACGGCAATATCAAAGTTGGATTGGACAGTAAATCCATCCACATAACATCGCATCATTGTAGACATAATGGTGGCTAGTAGCATAGCTACATGTTCAATTTGTAAAATTACCATTACAGTACAGTATTCAGAGAATCAAACTTCAAAACAAATCGTTCCCGCGTATCGTTTAAGCAGTGACACTATAACATCTCCCTGGTTTAAGCAAGCAGAAGTAAACAAAGAATGGGTTGATGGGATTGGTGTTTCTGAAAGACCTTACAAAATTACTTCCGGAATAGTTTCGTTACACGGATTCGACATGAGCTGAAATTTGCTCGAACGGTGGACCACCCGCTGTGTGCTCGGCGTGATTAACCGGTGAATTCACCAGAATACGGTTTGCGTTTTTCGCTCGAACAGGCCCTTAGTCAGGGGTCCCAAATTGGAAGGAGTCATTTCCAGCAGACCTGTTTAATCAAACTTTCTTACAACAATTGATTTTGTTTTGCTATATTTTATGGTGATTCCATGAGACAAACAATAATAAAGGGGTAATAATAATAAAATTTTTAAAGCACAAACATCCCCACCAGTGTCAAACAACAGCAGAGAACAAACAGGAATCACGAACATCAAGAAAAAAGAATCAATGAGTAACTTAAATGTAAAATGTAAAAAAAGTTAAATGTTAAATGTAAGTTAAATGTAAGTTACTGTATGCTCAGTTAAGTTTGTAAATTTTATAACTGAAAATTTATTATGGTAAATTCGGCAACACAAGAAATCAAAATTTTGACCTACCTTTTCACTTTATCAAAGTAATACCATCGTTTCTTTCTATCACCTTACCTTCTCAACTTTAGTTATACAAACCATCATTTCTTTTTTTTATCAGATATTACCTTGTCGGTTTTTTTTTTTGTTTTTTTTGTTTTTTTTTTACATTTCGTTTTGTTTACTTTCTTTCCTCCTAAAGTTCCTTATCTATCTTATGTTACCACTTTCCTTTTTCTTGCTGATGATTGATGTAATACAATACAAAAACCTGCAGATTTAAGTAATTTACAGGAGATGGGTTATTTTCATGGAGATTCTTGTCCTGATGCTGAAGTGCAGGAGGCATCCCGTTTTCCAGGGGACTCCAAGACTTGCGGGAAACTGGGAACCCCTGCCTAGTAGACCAATTCATTTACACAGCACCTCCATGCTGATTAGTGAGGGCGCACTATAACCCTAACCTTAGGAATAGGTAAATGTGAATTATAGCCAGCAAAATATACAGTTTATTTTTAACCATATCAATCAATTACTCAGGCAGAAACTATATTGGTTGTTTTTTTTTGTTTCATTACAGTTATTCATTCATTCATTTTCATTATTAGGCTTTACAGAAATATTACAATAGACAACGCAAACAGAAATTACTGATAGTAAATCACTATAAAGGTGACAAGGTGCATTGCAATACAATTAAAAACAACACTGTCGACCTATACCTTGCAGGTTTGGAAATCTGTCCTTTGAGAGCTTTTCAAATCTAACTATGTAACTAATACGTCACCATTTGCCAGTCAAATTTGTTCTTTGAATTTACAAAAACAAATGTTGTACTATTTCCGTTCACTTCTAATTCTTGCCCTAGTTATGTACACCTTGATATTAAATCGTTATCGATCAGCAGATATACATGCTGTAGCATCATGGGTAACCTCTTTTTCTCCTTATTTCCTCCTTGGAATTAATTCAATTAATTAGTATGTGCATCCCCATGACAGAATTTTGTAGATACCACAAGCACACCACAAATATCTACTGACAGTAGTTTAAAGTACTATATAGTTACTGCTTCTTTTTGCAAGAATTAACACCTTGGACTTACCGCCTGCTGTGAAAACTTCTTTTTGCTTGCCTTAGGCATCATGAATTGTACTATACCAAACCTCCATGCAAGCAAAATACAACAGAGTACAACATTTCCTGTATGTACAGTACTACTAGTTCAATCTCAGTCATGTGACTTGTTCTGGGAAAAACCCAGTGCTGAGTTTATCCCACTTTAGAGTTGTGAGTGTAAAAATGAATTTTGAGAAAAGGGGGTCAATCCTTTTTGTGTGTACTGCCCCAGGGAGGCTGTAAGCACTTAGCTATCAGCTCACTTGTAAGTTGTGAGCGTAAATCCGGGGTGATAGGATGCTTCATAAGCTAAAGATATGAAATATAATTCTATGCTCAGGCATTAAACCTGCCCTAGAAAGAACTAAAAGTCAACAATCTGTTACTTATAGGTCTACAGTTATTCAATTGTGAATTGCCAACAGAGAAGGCATGGATGTTGAGTTAAAACAAAAAACTATGTCAAGCAGTAGAAACATGCTGTTGCTGAAAGCCTATTTATTTTTTATCTTTTTCACAAGAGTACAAAGCATCTATGATCCTGTGTCCCCTGTGTAGAATGGTGGCTGTAGGATATATTTTCTGGGGGGGGGGGGGNNCTGTCCGACAGTGGGGGAGACAAAAGATAACTTTGGCACACATCACTATGCAAGGGCCTTCCGACTGAGCCGGGGGAGGGTTTTGAAGTTGATAAAATACAATAGTTACTATACTCAACTCAATAAACACGCACTTCATTTCATTAGGCCTTTTTTTTTTTTGGTCCGACTGCCTGACAAGCTCTGGCGGTGGGGGCTTGTCCTGCCTGTGTAACGTGTGTATTCTAATGTGGTTACTGAAATTCATGCATTCTGTGCTATGTATTGCACATAATATAATTATTACATTTCAATTTCAATTTGTTAAATTTATACCAATAATGATATTTATTCTGCAAATATACAGATACAAAAGTTACTTAGTCTTGACTATTGTTGACTCGGCGCCTAATAATTTTAGAATTTAAGCAAAAATCTACATATAATTAATAATTTATGCAATATTTATTCATTTTATGCCTATACCGACAATATACACTTTGTTTTTTATCCAGCATAATAATAAACATAATAGATATAATAATTACATTATAATATGCCTACTGTTGATACATAAAACAGATTGCACATAACAAAATACACTTAATATCAATTTTACCTTCCATTAAATATGTAAAAAGAATATGGCACAAATTATTATTTACAGTGAATTGAGAGAATTTAGTGCACGAACACAAAGACAATACTACACCAGATCTGTCTAAGCTGATTTAGAGTTTGCGCATCCAAATCTAGAATGGATTTTCAACCATAGTTTTATATTTCCTTGATACTATACAAGATATCTATTTGTTTTATTAAATATTTGGTTATGGAGATCATGTAGTCTAATAGCGAGAAGATAGACTGACATTGAATAAAGCCAAACAGCCATCTCCCATTAAATTAAATTAAATTTATGCTTTACTGTCAATTAAAGGTAATGTTAGTGTATGTAGCATAGAAAATGCTATGGCTCTTTAAACTTTACACTGGTTTCTATAAAAAAGATAATTTATTTTTTTTTAAATAATTACATTAAAGTGATTCAATATAATTATACAGTAACAATATTCTTCAAGTTTCCACACATTTTTGTTTTGTTATAAAAACACCGAGGCTCAAATTGCCGAATAAAAATAAGAACAAATTGAGGCTAAGGTCAAATGATGTTTTTTTTTTTTTTTATAGAACCAGACAGTGACAGGGTCCATGGTTCCTATTAATGTTATCTTTAATATTTGGAATGCAAGTATTTTTATACATTTCCAACAAATATTATCTGTACCCTATGTGCAGTAGGTGTGACTATGTAATATCATATATAATACAGTATAACTGTTGTACATTAATAATTTTCTATCATTGTAAATTGTATAAAATAAAAAAATGTTGAGCCTGAAATTGGCAAACATAAGATCACTGAGCCTAGGCAAAATTTTACTGATCTTATAAAATAAATAGTGTCCTATTTTAACCAAAGCACATATGTGCATTTAATATGACTGCTAGACCTTGTTACCTAAGTTGTACTTTAATAGCAAATATCACTGTCCTTCTAATAGGTGGCAATCTTCATCACAAAACAAACATGCACTTAAATTAAGTCTATTTATGAGGCCTAGGATTTTGAATGCAAAAAAAATTCCTTGACAAGATTTCAACTCGGGGCCTTGGTATTTGGACACAAGTATCCTAATCACAAGCTACAGCTCGACTGATATGTAGTATTACCCATAATGCATTTAATTTTTCTAAGCGTTCTGGCATTGAATATGATTTCTGAATGACACCGATAATGCGCGAAACACACTTACTGTAATTGCTCCCTGGACATCGAATACAGACAAAACAACCAAGTATACAATTTAACAAAACGTACATAATTGTGAGAATTCTACTCCGAAGTTAAAATAAATATTTTTTTCCTAATTGCCAGCATAATATAGCCAAAGTTATTGCACAGATTAATCAAAATAGGCAATTTAGTAGTAGTAAAGACATAGCTTATCAGTAGTAAAGTTTTGGTCCATTTTGTTGAAGGAATACTGATACATATGGGACTTGTACTTGTAGCATACACATACAGCTGCTGAACAATGAAAAACTAATGGAATTATATAATGTTAACAACTGATAGGTCGTAAATAGTTGATTCAGTTATTTAAAACTTCCAACAGACCCTGGGCGGTGGAACGGGAAGGCATGTTAACCACAACAGCACAAAACTCCATTCGTTTTCTGGAAAAGGATTATAACTACCCTTTAGCATATGTGTACAGACACAAGGTGTAATTGCAATGCACAAAAGAGAAAAGAAATTTCTATAATTCACGTTGGTTTTGAATATAAATGTTTCTTCTTTGAAGTTACAGTTCTGGAAAAATACCGACTGATGTAATAAATTTCACAGCGATCAACTAAACTGTAAAATGTTTTCCTGTTTATCCAACAAATCATTAAACACTGCAAATTAAATTCACTTGAGGGTACATAAAGCTGATTTTCTTGGACCATGTATCCTCAGGATTATTAAAGTTTAGCTACAAAATTGCCGATTCACTGCTTTAAAAAAATCAGTCCGTATTTGTTAAGTGCAGAGTAGGTGCACAGCAGTGTGCTAAATTTTGACTGGCTCCCAAGACTGAAAGAGGGATGAAGCAGACTACAACAGACTTGCAGCAGCCTATAACCATCACAACCTATTCAGTCACTGCACCACATACATACGATCGAGGATTCAAACGCTATTACCACACATTGCTCAGCTGTGTGCACTCAAGCGCGAATCCCTGAACGTCCACTTCAAGTTTGCAGTTAATGAAAGCAATCGCGGCGCATTTCAGTCGACCGTTCAGTAACACGGCAACCAGAATTGATAAAAACAGACAGGAAGTTTTATGATTATTTCTGTGTCCACCCTTCTAAACCTGTACCTACGTCATATGTATTTAAAAAGGCTGTTTTTTATACGGCACATTGCAGACATGTTAACAGTGTGAACTATCTAGGTAGGGAGAGAATGTCAAGTGGTATCTATCTAAATGTATTTATACATTCCTTTTTAAGTAAACTTTGGTACAAAGTCTTCCATTTCATTTAATGAAGAATAATTCCAATGAATCACAAAACAGCATGTCTTGTCATTTACGAATTTTTATTTCTTTAGACACGCTAGTAGTCTCAATTTTATCAAGACACTTTAATTCCATTCCTCCAGGCTTATCTAGCAGGTACAGTTAATCTAGTCTTCTTAAAGAGTTTGATGGCTAGGGAGATCAATAAGAAAAAGAAGACGAGGGCATTTTCCTACTGTAATTTGGTGCTTTAATTACACAATAAATGATCTGATTTGAAGAAAATTAAGATTCAAACAAACAAAGCCTTAACCCTTTGTTACAATTACCTAAAAGCTTAATTTCATGGATGCTACATCAAATAGTAACAATAATGATAGTGTTTACTACTTAATTTAAATGAAAAGTTCTGATGCTGGAGTGTTGCCATAATGTATTCAAAAGCTTTAATTACAAGCATTAATAATCAATACCTACACAGAAGGAAGAAATGCAAATGTGTTTAGATAAATCAGAAATTGAAAATTGCATTTGATTAAAAATGTATTTCAATCTTATAATTGTTGCATTTAAAAACAAAATTGAAACTTTTTGACAGTTAAAATAAGAAATTTCCCATTCTTATGAAAATGGGTTTTTTTAAGCACATTGTGTTGTTCTGTATGTGATATTGTTTCTCAATCATAATTCCCTAAAATAAATCTTAAAAATATTCAGGATGATGATGATAATGATGAAAATGATTATGATGATGTTGATGATGATGATGATGATGACAACGATGATGATGTTGATGATGATGATGATGATGAAAATAATGATAATGAAAATGATAAAAATAATAACAATGAATGAATACTATGAAAAATACCAGTACCAAATTTTAGAATATCTTAATGTTAAAAAAAAAAGGAACAAAATAATTATATACCGTAACACTGCTAGTGTAATATTGTATAAGAAGTACTCAAATACAAATCCTTTACCAATAATAATAATAATAATAACGATTTTTAAAACGCAAACATCACCACCAAAAATAGGTGCTCAAGGCGCAGTGTCAAAACAACAGGAAGAGAACAAAAAGATCACAAAGAACAAAGTGAAAACATGTTAATTTTTATTTTATTTTAATTTATTAAAGAAAATTAAGCAGCACAAGAAATAAAATATCAAAAATTACCTTGTCAGTTTTCCAGGAATATTTCACATTTAATTTAATTTCATCTTATGTTCCCTTTTCTTATCTTTCCTTATCTTTATGTTACCAAAAATTACTTACCTTTACCAACAAATACGTTAATTACAAAATCAATGGAAACTGAATTTATTGTTGATAAATTAATTGGAAAATATGTTTTATCTTTAATGCTAGTTTATCTTTGGAGTGCAGCTGAATAACTTGCCTTCCACTCCCAGGGTCCTAGGTTCAATTCCTATGATAGGGATTTTTTTTTTCATGACTGAAAACAACTCCACTCCATAGGTCTTAGCAAAGAGTATAAAACTGCAAGAGGCCCGACCGCCCTGATTTTATATGCAGCAAGAAACGCAGGCAATGGAACGTTAAAAGTACAGCCACAAAATAGGGGGCGCCATACATGCTCGAATCTTAAAGACCACACCCCTTCAAGGAAGTACTTTTTGTGTTCCAATGAATCCCCAGCAGTCGGACCTTTTGCAGTTTTATACTCTTTGTTCTTAGTATGAGA